ACAGTCACCTCTGCCTGCACCTGAAGTTGTGCACCCGAGACATGTCTTGTTTCTGTTGCATCTTGTCCTGTTTTGGCGCCGGTTTCCTGCATCCTTAGAGCTGAAGCGTCTTGTCTTGTTTCTGTAGTTGTTTCTCCCATGTCTGTTTGTTCCTGAGTGTTGGCTTGAGAAGAGACAAGGCCCGCCGGAAGGGTCGGTACCTTCTCGCTGGAGATGTCCTGTGAACCAGCCAACGCCTCCCTCCTTAGCTGTTCTACAAGACTGACCTCTACAATGCTACTCACTACTTCTCCTGTCTGTTCTGACCCTTCTGAACCCTGTGGCCTGTCCCTGCCATGTAGACCCCCTGTACTAGGTGGCCCATCCCTGCTAGGTGGCCCCTCTACGCTAGGTGGCTCATCCCTGCTAGGTGGCCCATCCCTGCTAGGTGCCCCATCCCTGCTAGTTGGCCCATCTCTGCTAGGTAGCCCCTCTACGCTAGGTGGTCCATCCCTGCTAGGTGGTCCATCCCTGCTAGGTACCCCATCCCTGCTAGGTGGCCCCTCTATGCTAGGTGGTCCATCCCTGCTAGTTGGCCCATCTCTGCTAGGTAGCCCCTCTACGCTAGGTGGCCCATCCCTGCTAGGTGGTCCATCCCTGCTAGGTAACCCCTCTACGCTAGGTGGTCCATCGCTGCTAGGTGGTCCAACTACGCTAGGTGGTCCATCCCTGCTAGGTACCCCATCCCTGCTAGGTGGCCCATCCCTGCTAGGTGGCCCATCCCTGCTAGGTGCCCCATCCCTGCTAGTTGGCCCATCTCTGCTAGGTAGCCCCTCTACGCTAGGTGGTCCATCCCTGCTAGGTGGTCCATCCCTGCTAGGTGGCCCCTTTATGCTAGGTGGCCCACCACTGGTAGGTGGTCCATCCCTGCTAGGTGGCCCATCCCTGCTAGGCAGCCCATCCCTGCTAGGTGCCCCATCCCTGCTAGGTGGCCCCTCTATGCTAGGTACCCCATCCCTGCTAGGCGGCCCATCCCTGCTAGGTACCTCCTCTATGCTAGGCGGCCCATCCCTGCTAGGTGGCCCCTCCCTGCTAGGTAGCCCCTTTGGTTGGGCTGTCCTGTCAGGCACAGTTGTTGCTGTTGGCTCCTTGTCTTTGAGAAGCACGTGGGTCTGTCGGGGGACATACGGGGGAGGGGGCTTGTCCTCCCTGCGACCTTCACCCGAGTGTGTGACCTTCAGCTTTGTGCTGATCTCCAGAAGTTCCCGCAGACCCTTGTTCTCCACCTGCAGTGAGAGAAATAACATCAGCACAAGGCATGATGGCAGGTGTCCTGCCACTTGCTATATAATGTAATCTTTTATAGATTAAGATTAAGTTCCTTTGTAGAAAGTTTTTATTTACATAAAAGAATGTAATAGTTTTGTAGATTGTTAAGCCACCTTATATATTCAATATTTCAAGCTGATCAACCTTTTCCAGCTCCATGCATGATCTGACACCTGAGTGATGAAATGTCATACAATCGGTTTTCCAACATTGACACTTATAAGTGTCCTCCTGCAAATTTTACTTTGCTAAACTGTTTTGTATATGTTGGGTCACTAGAGATTGCCAAAGTCTAATAAAAAAAAAAGAAAAGAAAAACGGATAACCCCTAAGGCTACCTACCGACCCTAATTTTTTCAGGACTGAAACAGGAAACACAACATTTTTTTCCTAGGCCTATCAACCTGGGGACACAGTAGATTTCTTACCTCTAGCTGTGCCACTCTCTCCTGCTCCTTAGCAACATACTCATCGTCCATAGCAACGGCCTTGGCCATGACAGCTGCCATCTCACAGATCTTCTCAATCTTCGTTTGCACCTCCTGAAATGGCAAAAAAAATTTAAGATTTGATTTGAACAAATTAACTTAGTAGGTAGGTACTATTTGCAAAACAAAATGCATAATGTTTACCTTCACATGGCCTAGCCCAACAAACTGCTGCCCTGTTTATTCTTACTCAAATACATTCATATATGTGTTGACCAGCTCCTCCAATTCTGTCCTGCAACTTGCTACAAAATGTAAATTGTAATCCAGCACCACAGGATGTCTGCTACAGCACCAGTTACCATGGTGACAGCCATCTGGTTCAGGTCATTGACCTTATTTGTTTGCTGGGGAAGAAGAAGAAACAGAGCAAAAACTATATGATTTTCTTCTGCAAAGGAAAATCTCACCTGTCTTGTCATGTTTGTTTACTAAGTCTTGTCATAAGTGGGTCGTGTGGCACAACGGCAGCGCACACGACTCGGAACCAAGAGGTCCCGGGTTTGAGTCCTTACATGCCACTGATCTTGTGTCCTTGGGTAAGGCACTTTAAACAACTTTCCCCACTTTAACTCAAGTGAAAGTGAGTATTGTCTGTCCTGTATTTGTTTCTATGTGTGAGACACAACACCAGCAACAGCTGCCTCTGTTCCGCGTGTATTGCACTGTTGTAATTTCAATGAATTGAATCAAATGAAATTAAGTCTCACCTGTGGCGTTGCAGCCAGCTGAAGTCTAGTCCAGGGCTTCTCAAGTCGATTTGCGACGACCAGTTTCAGGATCTGCTCCCGATATTTGCTCATGATGAGCTCCAGGGCAGCCTGGTGCTCCTGCAGGGAAACCCGCAGCTCCTAAGGAAACACAAACAAACAAACAAACATACCAGAGGTTAGCATGAAAGTTCATCTGTATCTGTATCTATATCGGTATAGCCGGTATAACCGCCCTTCGGCGTAACACACCAGCTTCCCAGGCACGCGGCGCGGCGGCAGCTAGCTATATCACACCGGACGACTTGTTACACTCAATCTTTGCACATTTGATTGCAGGAGTTGTTTAAAGCTTTCTGGTGATGATGCCCCAACTGTGCTTGGTGGCAACGGGTTCCAGTCTACGATTAGTTCTGGGGAAATACGAGTTTTTGAATACCTCAATTCTTGGTTGATCTGTGTTGGTATACTTCATTATGACAAAAAGGCTGAATGTTCTGTGCCAACACATGTAAATTGGGACTTACCCATGCAAATTTTCCGGAAGCTGCAGTAGACAGGTCCATTCCGTGAACAAGGCTGACGGAGTTAGCTGAAAATCTGTCTAAGTCCCAATTCAGCTGGAGTTGGCACAGAATGTTTAGCCTTTTTGTGATAAACCAGATACCTTTGACCCAGTGCTGACGTCACACTTCAACGAAGCCACGTAACAAGCCTCACTGGGTCAGTCTACTGAGGAAGACCAGAGTGACTGGAATTTTTGTGTTGGACCAAAACTAAAGTTTTGATTTAAACATATTTGTTTGCTTGTTTGTTTGTTACCTTGTTTTCCTGCTGCAGTTCCCGTATCTGCCTGTTCTCCTGCTGGATGCCGAGGATCAGCGTCGATCGCGGTTTGTGTCGGGCAACTTCATTCAGCTCATTCATATCTTCCTGGTACTGTAGGGTACAATTATTAACTCATTAACTAATTATCAATATGTTTTCTTCATTTTGCAGCACAGAGTTTGCAATCTATGGAAGGTTTTGTGTGGGGTATGTGACTGTGTAAAATTTTTTGTGGTAAGTCTGGAATCGGTTCTTGACTTTCAGGTTTTTTTGGACTTGAACCTAAACATTTTTACAAGTCCGGAACCTGTCCAGCAAACCGGTACACAGCACTAGTTACCCCTGTACATTCACACCTGTTTCATGGCGTCGATGCGCTTGTTGAGGACCTGAGCCTGACCAATCAGGCCGTCCGCGGCCGTGTCGTGGTCTCGGAGCCGGTCTACCAGCTTCTTCGTCTCCGACAGGATCTGGTCAATCGTCAGCGTCATGGTGACGGCTGGGGTAAACAAACAAACAAACAAATGTGTAAGGAGGAACTGTCACCTGAAATGCCTGTTTTCAAAATCAAACTAACTAACTAACTAACTAGATAAGCATTAGATAGCTTTAAACAATGTCTAGAGTTCAAGCTGAAGGGTTAGGTGTAACAAGTTGTACGGTGTAATGTAGCCAGCTGCCACTGCGCCGCATGCCTGCGAAGCTGGTGTGTTACGCCGAAGGGCGGTTATACCGGCTATACCGATACAGATAACTACAGAACAGTCACTGACGAAAGGTAGTGGATACTAACGTTTTACTGAAATGCCTGACTATTTCAAAATCTATCAAGTTGCTTGAGCTAAATTGAATAACTGTTTCTGTTTACTTTAAATGAAGGAAGAGGTTGGGAGGATAACAGAGGTTCACACAACGACTTCTAGATTTTAAAACAAGTAAAATCTGAGATTTTATACCTCCGGGCTTTTTATTGTATATTTTTATATAGGGTTTTAAACAAAGAATTAATCGAGACCGGACACCCCTCTGTGTGAGGGTCATATACGTGGACCAGACCGAGAATAGCTTAGACACGCCAAAGGTCAACGGTCGCGACCACTTTCACGCTTAAAGGGGTGTTTTAGGGCCACCAAAAGGCACCATTTTCACGCCCGAAAACACATATACAATAAAAACAAAAGAATGTGCATAATCTGCAACCCAATAGCATAACATATACCGAGTCTTAAAAGAATCCGTCCACCCAAACGCGAGAAACAGCTGCGAACACGAAAATCTAAATCTCTCACAAAACCCTTCCGCGGAAGGATGTCTCCTCCCCCGAAGGTAATAACGTTTGTAACGTTTAATAATAAGTTTGTTACAATTTATCATAATTTCATATGCTAGTGAACGTGAACACAGCTTCCTCATACTCTAGCTCATAGATTCAGACATAAAGCGTTTTCCTTGTGGTCAAAATAATTCAAGTTGGCTCTTGTCCAGTGAACTAGTGTCGATCCCACAAATTATTATACAAGCAGTACAAAACGAGAAAACACGATTCGTGAAGGAGATCTAGACTTTCCCTACACAGTACATGATAGTGAGCGTTGAAGGGGGAGGGGGGCGTCGTATCCGCTGGGGAAAGAAACTTTTCGATCACCCTTGAGTTTCGTAGCATATCTGGGTCAGATTCTCTCATATAAGCAGTTTTCTGTGTGTTAGTGCCGAAAATACAAGTATTTGGGCTAGTATCTTGTTAGAAATACGGTAAGAAGCTCACCGCTCTTTCTTCCTGCTTCTTCCAACGACAAGGGGTCACCGACGGGGTCGCCGGCCCGAACGTTACCGAAGGCGAGCCGATCGTGGCGTCATCATCCCGAATATTGCCGATCGAGCGACGAACATGACGTCATGTTACAGTATGCTGTGCGGGCAGCGACGTCTAGCGATTATAGGTAAAACTGCACACAATCCGGCGTAATGCGTCTTTCCGTCGTTTAAACTTTTGTGGTTCCGTCATAGTCTCTTATACAATTACAGGCCGAATAGCAAGTAGAAATCGGCCTAAAAAGAATGTAGCTGGCCAGGGGAGTTAGCCGGCCATAGGGGGTCCAGTTTGCCTATAACCGGTCAACTCCCCTGGCCAGCTACGTTGTTTTAAATTTTAGGCCGCTTTATACAATTTGTTTTATATAGCCTACAAAAGAGTCTGGTGGAGACCACGGTGTGAGACACCAAAGATATTATACAGCAGAAGAATGCACATCGGCAGAAAATGGTTCGCCTGCACAACACCCAGAATTTTGAGCCTCCATAGCATGCCAAAAACTAGGAGTTATGGGGTCTTCAGGGTCTTTGGGAGCTTTTATGTGCTATTTTCTGGCTGCATTGCATATAGACAACATAGCCGGCCTGGTTGAACGTAAAAACATGATCATTGCAATGACAAGTCCTTGATCATTGTAATCATGCATGGTCTTAAAATTAGCGTTATCAGCAGCTTTTAAGCGGGACCTACAAAAGTTTCTTTTGGGGCATGTTGAACAGTCCCTACCGTTAGATACTGTAATTCCTGATTTTTTCATGTTCACTGTTTTCACTGTCACTCTGTACAATGAACTTATCATTACAGTTAACAAATAATTCCTGGACTTTCTCTTCCCTGCACCTGTCGCGTACCCTGAATATATAGTTCTGTTTCTTTTAGGATTTTTCTTTTAGTCCTTTTTTCTCAGACCGTAAACTTTTCCTACCGTGACCTTAAAGTGGATTGCAGTACATGGAGCCTGTCTGTAAACAGTCTGACATCCAGGTTACCGAACTCACCCCCAGTAGCTAAAAATATCCGGTCACATGTCCGCGCTGCAGGGCCGGCGGGTCCAAAGTCGGACGGTCGGCGAGCGGGGCGAAGTCAAAGTAGTGAGTAAAACAATGGATACCGGCCCGTCATACTCTCCAAGTAGAGGGTTTGGGTTATTTTTGGCGTGTTTTTAGAGTTTTTTTTAATCATCGGGATTTCTTTTTTTGCCCTGAAATTTTGTTGGGTGAAAGAAAAATTCCAGTGCAAAAAAGAAACCCCGATAAAAAGGCTAAAAACACGTCAAAAATAACCCAAACCTCTGCTGGAGAGTAGGACGCTCTTTTGAATCTCTCACCCACCCGCCCTCTACACTCGACCTTGCTGAAGAGCGGCCGAGGCGAAATAAAGGCTTTGAATTGAATTGAATTGACTGTTGGACAAAGTCCTGTATGTAGGTCGTGCATGTATACATGTAAGTAGGTCACGGGTTAGAACTTTAAATAGATCCCCGCTTGTTGTCACTCCCTGTTTGCATGCACGAATAATTTGTACGTTTTCGGGATTATTTTTTTTTCTTTCCCATCATACAAGGAAATAAAAAGCCCAGATTTAGACTGGCTTCCGGGGCACATAGATTAGGACACCGCACAACGAAAGTAACTCCCTTTGGATCCTGGAGTGAAGTCCATACGACAGCTAGGGGTCAGACGGGGCAGTCTGCTCTGTATATACGTGTAGCAGTGTGCAGACGACGGGTCTAGATATGACCTCTTAAGAAGCCTGCAGTCCCAGGCTACCTCTAGGCTAAAGGCGGGGGCAGACGAAACCGCTAGTCTGTCTAGTACCAAGTGAAACCCTGCAGCCTGGCTAGAGGCCACCACGGGGGAACAGCATCGACGTGGCGTGTACGTGTAGCTCCATGCGGCGGGTGATCATCCTAAGACGCCCGTAGTCCCAGGTTACAGAGTACAGACGGGGGCAGACGAAAGCCGCGTACCTAGTAGTACCAAGTGAAACCCGGCAGCTAGAGAGCCTATGTGGTAGTGTAGTGGACAACATCGGCTTGGCGTGTACGTGTGGCCACAGACGGCGGGTCTAGATATATCACTTCCTGTTGAAGCCTGCAGTCCTAGGCTTTGGGCGGGGCAGACGATATCGCCGGCAGTACCAAGGACATTGTCCGGTCCTTGCTAGTACTAAATGAAACACGGAAGCTAGAGACTATACTACTGTACGTCTACTGGACAACATCGACATGGCGTTTAGGTGTACCCCCAGGCGGCGTGTGTGCTGTGGAGTACTCGGGCTGGTCTGCCTGTTGGGAGGGGTGGTCGGACTGTGTCTGTACAACATGCTACTGGACGGATTCGTCTCACAGGTAAACGGCGGAAGAACCGCGCTTATCCATGTTATCTAATTTACTGTCGGAATAGTACTGTTTATATTGTATTATGAACCGTGCCTAGCTAGTTCTATGTCGCCCGAATGGGCTCGAGTTAAGAACACTACACATTTCCGGATAAAATAAGGGCCTGTACAATAACAATCTGCCCCAGCTCTGCATACGTCTGGACTATCTAGAACCGCGCCTGAACATGGCTCTGGATAAAGAACACGTACAGTTCTGGATAAGCAAGGTTCTGGATACAAGATTATTGACTTGGAACTTTAACCACCCGTTTTTATAATGGTCTATGCTATGTACAGTTTTCCACCGGTTTTATAGTGCTTGTAAACAAGTTATAAGTGTTGCATAAGTTAATTATTTCCTCATCAGACAAAGCTCATTATTTCCTCATCAGACACTAGGCCTCTAGGAAGACTTTGTGTCTATTGAGACCGCAAAATGCAAACAAACAAACAGACGAGGAAGTAAACAAACATGGATGAGTCCAGGCAGCTGTTCTGTGATATTTGTTTTCCTGATCAGCTGGTGACCCACGGTCGGGGTGACCTTTGTACACATGGACTGGCCCACTAGCATTCGGGGGTAGAAATTCACATCACAAAAATCTCAATAAACAAATAGTATGATAGTCTCCCGCCAGAAACCCGCTTCGAATGAGCTTTGCATTTCGTAAATCAGCTTGTTAATGTAGATGAGGACGTAATTGAATAAATTGTTTTTAAGTCTTTAAACCTCCTCTGGGTCCAAATATGCGCCAAGTGTGTTGAAAAGTGATAGTAAATGTTAGATAACAACGAGATTTAATATAATTAGAATTTT